TCGCAATGCCTCGGGGTGCTTCGGGGGTTGGCCAGAGGGTAGCCAGGGGTGCCGGGGGTAGCTGGGGGTGGCTGGGGGCCGCCCGTCTCAGCCGAAGACTGGAGACTGAGGGGTAGACGGGGGGTAGCCGGGGGTGGCCGGTGGTAGCCAGGGGTAGCCGGGGTAGCCGGGGGAGGCGGGGGGAGGCGGGGGGGCGCGCTGAGAGCCGCGATTGCGCGTTCGCGCGCCGACTGAGGCGCCGAGCGCGCGATCGCGCCGTTCGGGGCCCGCGTCGGCCCCAGACGGCGCGCAAACGCGCGATCGCGCTTCGCCCGCGCTTCCCCGCCGCGCTCCGCCTGCTTGGGGCGACTCGCGAGGGTCCGAGGGCTCCTCCTCCTCCTCCTCCTCGTCCTCCTCCTCCTCTCGCCTCCTCCTCCTCCTCCTCCTCCTCCTCTTTTTCCTCCTCCTCTCTCCTGCCTCCTCCTCCTCCTCCTCCTCCTCCTCCTTGTGTCAGTGCCCGCCGCAGGACGGGCGGAGGGCGATGAACAGGTCCAAGTTGCGGCCCCGATTGCTGAAAATGGAGTCGTTTTGAGTTGGCCTCAATTTCGGTCGATTGCGTTTCGCGGCGCCTTCTCGCTCAGATTTTCTTGGTACATCGATATCGGACGGGGCTTCTCAGTGTCTCAGGTATTGTTCGGATGCAGTTTTTCTGTGTGGTACAAAATCATGAAGGACTTCACATGCGATCGCCGTCTGCGGCTGTTTTCGCTCATAGGTTCGCCAGCTGCGGTTTGTCGCACGCGTGTCGTGCGCGGGCGAGATTTGATCTTCTTGCCGTTTTCGTTAGTGCGGTCGTTTTGCTAGATTTCTGGCGTGGAGTTTCGTGCTTGCTACGTCGTGGTCAATCGTTTCTGTGGGTTTTAGGAAGCAAGAAACGAGCGCGCTGTTTTTCGTGGGGGCAAAACCGAAAACTGCTGATTCCTGACATCGAAAAACGCCTAGACCGGAAGAGGACGTGGGATAATGATATAGGACGAGGACCTAGGAGGATGAGGAGGAGGTGGGGGAGGAATTGATGGATGGATGGGCGGCCGCAGACATTTTTGCTCAATTGCAGCATTCCTCAAGGGCCGCATCCGAGTGTTCATTCATTTTTCGTGGCTGTGCACAGGGAGCCCTCCTCCTAGCACAGCGCCCACACGTGCCCTAGCTGGATCAGCCCATCACCATGGGTGGCGATTGGTAGGCGCACCAGCCAGACAACCAACAGCTGAGGTCTCGCATGCGCATTTTCTGCTCATGTGGTGAGTGGTAGGACTGGAGTAACGCCAGGAAGAAAGTGTTCGGCTGTGTGGCGGACCATCCGACCATCCGAGCTCCCACGTCAGCGTGGAAGTACCCAGGAAGCAAATGAATTGCATGGACGGTGGACGTCAAGGCGAAGACGTGGCCGAGGGAGCACATCCCACGAAACACATTATGACACGCATAGTTAGCGTTGACTCACTTGAGTTAGCCCTGGGCACCCGTTTCGTTTTGGGTGCAAACCTCTGCGCAGGCGCGCGTTTTCACGCAAGTCCAGAAAACGTGGCACGTCCATCTCTCGTTCATTCTTATTTCGGCCTGCTCGGCGGGCTCCCTCGGCCTTCAGGACAGCCCATGAGTCCTCCAAGAGAGCCTCAGGACGGCCTCCCGGGGCTACGGAAGGACTTTTCTGGGAAAGCATTGGAGGGACGTTGGCGTCAGTTTGGATTGCCTTGGCCTCCCGGGTGCCTACGCGATAAGTGCCAGACGCTCCAGGAACGCCCAAGAGCGCCCATGAGTTCCGCCAGAGTGATGGTTTGTGCTAAATTCTACAGCCCCTGTGACACTCGCATCTGCATGAGTTCTGGGGCACTCCACTGCGTGTTTCTGGGGCGGTGGTGGATGCCCACGTGGCTTGATCTGGAAAGTCGCAGCTTGAGTTCGTGGTTGACAGTCACCTTGGCAGTGTTCCTGCGAATGCAATGTGTGCATTTCTAGTATGTGTACAGATGTGTTTATATGTGTATATATGTATATATGTATATATGTATATGTATATGTATATGTATATACGTAGGTAACTATATACATAGTAACATCTGAACCGTCGGTTGTTTACCCGCCCGTGGGTGGCGCCCGCGCGAGCTTGATTCGATGAACAAGTTCTTTGCAACAGGGTGTTGAGCGGCATGATCGCTGAGCAGAGATTGGTTGCGTTTCTGTTGTCCAAGCTATCTCGCAGGGGCGCTGTATTCGGGTAGATTGTGATTGGGGTTGCGAAGGTGAGACAGGCGCGGCATCCTTCGCTGGGCACACACAGCACGCAGTCGATCCAGCAGTTCTTATTCTGGAGTGCGTAGGATTCCACGGGATGTTCATTCCACGGCGATGTACGCATTTTCGGCTGAACCAGTTGCCATCGAAATTGCAGTTGAGTTTATTATCCAGCGGCCTGCGTTGTATTTTCCAGCGCCTATATTACACGCGTGAGGCTATGTTGACAGTGGGCTGACAGATGCAGTTGCGAATTCATGAGGGAAACTTGCTGGAGGGAGGATGAGGGGTATAATGAAAATGAGGAGGTTGTGATCGTGAGGGTGAAGACGAGGATTGCTGTAATTCCTTGCCCCTGCTGCTGCATCGTTGCTACGTGCTCTTTCCTTTGGCTCCCGCTCCTCCTCCTCTTACCCCCCCTCGCTTGTCCCCCAGCTCCTTGCCTCAGGCGGGTTCGCACGCCACTTACGGATGCGCAGCGGGGTGGCTCACGCCCCCCCACCGCGCACCCGTCTCTTCCGTCTTCCAGTTCTCTTCTTGCTCTCTCCCTGGTGCTTTCTCTTCCATCGCCTACCCTCCGCGTCGAGTCCTTGGGGGGCGAGTCGTGGCACTCTGTCGCCGGTGCCCAAGTGGGCTGTGGCCCCTCAACAGCCCTCCCGAGTACCCCCTCGGCGTGGCGCGCCCTGGACACGCCTGGCGCTGGTGGACACCAGACCTGACAGGGATCTCGTGCTGGCGGCTGGGAATCAGGAGGAGGAGGAGGAGGAGGAGGAGGAGGAGGAGGAGGAGGAGGAGGAGGAGGAGGAGTAGGAGGAGGAGGAGGGGGAAGAGGGGAGGAGGGAGGAGGAGGAGGAGGAGGAGGAGGAGGAGGAGGAGGATGAGGAGGAGGAGGACGAGGAAGAGGAGGAGGTTGAGGAGGAGGAGGAGGAGGAGGAGAGGAGGAGAAGGAGGAGGAGGAGGAGGAGGAGAAGGAGGGGCCGCATGAGGAAGAGGAGGAGGAGGAGGAGGGGAGGGAGGGAGAACAAGGAGGAGGGAGAGGAGATGGAGGCAGGGAACGGAGACGGTCCCCAACGCCCTGACAGCGTTGGGGCGCCGAGCTGTTAGTGGCCCTCCACTGAGCCAAGGCCCGACAGCTTTGGGCGAGCTTGGGGGGGGGCGCGCGGAAGGCGTGGCCGCCCTCCGAGAGGCATTAGGGTTGAGCCCGCGTGTGCACAGTTTGATTTTCAGTCGGGGGCCAGGGAGCTCGGGGTAGCGTTGGTGGGGGCGCCGCAAGACTCCTCAACGATGTTACAATAAACCCTTCCTCCAAGCTCCTTATTCATAGGCCCCATATAACGATTCATTTCCACAAATGGGGGCCCGTTGGGAGACAACCTTCCTGAAGCGCTCCAGAACACCATTCCTGGGACTTCAATGTCACGAATTACTGTTACTGTTTCGTCTTGACGATCCTGAATCGCGCCAGAACGCCATTCCTGGCATTACAACATTGCGAATCAGCGTAGCTGCTGCGCCCTGACAGTCCGACGTCGTTGCCGAAACACCATGTCGGGGACGTCAGCCATGATTCCATAGGCTTACGCCACATCCGCAGACCCCTTGTTTCTGTATAGCTTTTATCGCCGGCTGTGGTGGGCGCCCTCACGGCGGCGGCATTCGGTGTCATGAGTAGGTGCGCAACTATGGTACTCCGTGAACCTCTTGCGAGAGCCACACTTTGAAAACGGCCTGCTCTCCATCCGTTAAGCTCCTGCAGTTTTTCAGACGCATGTGCGCGGCGCTACTGCGAGAGCCACACTTTGAAGACGGCCCGCCCTCCATCCGCGAAGCTCTTGCAAATGCACAGCTGAATGATCATTCGTGGTAAGGTAGTCTCAAGCGAAACGCCCAGCCCGCCCTACGGACAAGCCTCGGGATGCGACAGAGAGGAGCTATTCATAAGGAAAAGGGATGGATGATGATGAGGAGGAGGAGAAAAGGAGGAAGAGGAGGAGGAGGACGAGACGTAGGGCCGTAGGGAGATGAGGAGGACGAGGAGGAGGAGGAGGAGGAGGAGGAGGAGGAGGAGGAGGCGGAGGAGGAGGAGGAGGAGGAGGAGGAGGAGGAGGGAGGAGGAGGAGAGGAGGAGAGGAGGGAGGAGGAGGAGGAGGAGGAGGAGGAGGAGGGAGGAGGAGGAGGAGGAGGAACAATAATAATAATAACAAGAAGAAGAGTAATAATAGTACGAATAAGAATAATAATAATAATAATAAGAATAATTATAAGAGGAAGAAGACGAAGACGAAGAGTAATAATAATTAGAATAATAATAATAATAAGAATAATATTAATAATAATAATAATACTAATAATAATAATATTAATAAACAATAGTAATAATAATACTAATAATACTACTACTACTAAGAACAATAATAATAATAATAATAAGAAGAAGAAGAAGAAGAAGAAGAAGAAGAGGAGGAGGAGGAGGAGGAGGAGGAGGAGGAGGAGAGCGATTATCGGGCCCCTGGCCCAGTGGTTTTGGGACCCCTTTCTGCGGCCCTCGCGTGACCTTCTCTTCGTCCCCTGTTTCGCCCTCCGCCCCTCCTCCCCCCCCCTCGGCCGCCCTGCCCATTTGTTCCTTCCTCCTGCATGCCAGCCAATTCGCTTGGTAGTGCCCCTGCATCGCTGCCACGCTGGAACGGATTGTCCCGCCCCGCTGCCGACGGAAAGGCTCGCCCTCCCTCCTCGACCCTTCCCCCCCCCTCCCCACCTGCTCCCCCGGCCCACCCCTTTCCCCACGCGCGGTCGGCAACTCTTGGACCGCGTGCCGCCCCGCCGGTTCTGGCCCACCACGCCTCGGCGCGACACGCGATGCACTTCGCGGTCTCCCCGGGCGTCCACGCGCCGAGCTTTGCCGCGCCTCCCGCCCCGCGGGGCGGAGCGGCACGCCACCCGCTCGCCTGGCACGGCGTGTCGCCGGGGCCGCCGCCTCGAGGCGCTGTCCACGAGCTCCCGACCGTGGGTCCCCCATCCCAGGCTCTGGGGACGCACCCCGAGCTCCTCGGGCAGCTGCGCACTCTCGGCGTCGGCACGAGCACCGGCGAGCTCATGCTGCTGTTCGACCGCCTATGCTACGACTACGAGGGCAAAGGCGCCGTGCCGCTCCCGTGTCGGGGAGACGTACGGCAGAGGGCAAACGCAATGACCGAACACTCTCCGTCCTGGAGGAGACTGCGGTCGAAGTGCAACTCATCAGACCCACCGCCAACTCTGAAGATGGGGGGAGGGGGAGGCGTTGACAGGTGGATGTGGCATGAGTATTCGCTATCTTTCGCATCGCCAGAGCTCTGGTTTGCCGACGCTGTTTGACGGGCCCGTCCCGGGTTTTCACGGTTTAGTTTAATCGTGGGATGTTTGCGACGGGAGTTCGCGTCAAATTTCAGATTGGGTCTCGTCAGTTCCTTAATGGCCCCGCCAGGCAAGCTCGAGTCCTCCGACCGTGCGGCTTATCTGGAATAAGGCAAACAATCGCAAACATACACCCCTGGTGGCGCCTCTGGCGCCGCCCGCTCAGAGTGCCCCGCGCGCCAGTGAGGGGTGGGGGAGATCCAGGAAATCCGCGCGGACCGTCAGAAGTGTATGTTTATGCTGTTTGCCCTTCCTCTAATACCCCTCTCAGTTCCGCGAACGACTTGTGTGCGCCGTACCGCATTGGCGTCTCCCGAGGCGTCGTCGATCCTCGACTCAGAAGTGGTACGGTGCATAGTTGTCCGGAAAAGCTATGCACCGCACTGCGTCGGGGCGATGCTTGAAGGACGTCCCAACATAGTGCGGTGCCTGGGTGCCGTTCCAGTATCAATAAGGATTTCGCAGGGGAGGGCGACGTACGTTACGTAGGGTGGGGTAGATGGGACCGTCGCGAACGACTCCTCCCCCTCATCTTACATCCGCACTGTTGGGGATTTTGAGGCGCCGTGGGTCGGAGCCGTGCTTTCGGCTTGCCCACCAGGAAGCCCCACCCGCGCAGGAGTTCTTCCGCAGGCGTTGGGGGCGGTTGCAGCGGCGACAGCGGGATAGCAGCCGCAGCGTGGGCTAGCAGTGTCGTGGATAGCAGCCGCAGCGCGGGATGTACTGGTGATTGCAGCTGTGGCTGCAGCACTCCTCCCTCCTCCTCCATCCTCTTCCTCCCTCCCTTTTCCTTCTAGTTGACTCTTCCCTGTCGCACGCCAGACGTGTCGGCAGGGCGGGCGGGGCGTTCAGCCTGGGGCTTCCTCACCGCTTATGACCCTGAAGCTGGGAGCTTGGAATTGCAACAGTTATGGCAGTGGAGGGGGTTCGTTTCCCAAAGGGAGCTGTCGCCAGAGCGCCGAGCGATAATCTGTTTTGGACGACGAGCTCTACACACATCCACTGTTCCCTGGCCAGGCCGAGCCAGGAGGGCGTGACGTATACACAGCTGCTGGATTCAGGATGGGCCTGGCCATGGAGCAGTGGATATGTATAGACTTCGTCGCCCTAATGTTGCAACAGTTGCAGCGTTGGAGGGGGGCGATTCCAAAACTGGCCTCTCGCCCTCGCTCCGCGCGCATGCGTCCAACACAGCCGCAACAACTTCTCCAAGGGTGGAGGGCGGCTTCGTTGCAACGTGGGGCTCTCGCCATCGTGCCGCGCACGCTCTTCTTCGAGCACCCTCCCGTCGTGTTTGTCCGCCACGCTGGAGGTCTGGGCCCCTGCCCCCTCCCTCGTCCTTCCCTCCCCCTGTCTGCACCGGCTCGGGGCGAGGGGGCGGGGGAGGCGCGCGGCACGATGCCGAGCGTGCGCGGCGCGGGGAGAAAGTGGGGCTCTCGCCACCGCGCCCAGTTGGCAGTCACGAGGACGGACGGTGGTCGTTCTCAGAATTGGGCCGTTGCCTCAGAGCCGCGCGCACTCGTCTCGCAGGCGAGCAGCAGGTGGAAGGATGGAGGGCGGTTCCGTGTTGAAACGGAGCCCTCGCCTTCGCGCCACGCGCATTCGCTTGAGAGACGCGCAGCAATCAGAAGGGTGGAGGGCGGGTCCTTTTTTCAAGACGGGGCTACCGTTTGCGACCCCGGAATTCTGTCAGACATGTAGCGGTATGTAGCACTGGCACGGCAGCATTCGATCTCTACAACATGGGATTCTCGCGCTCCGTAGCCATTTTGGCTCAAGCCCTCTGTGGCCCAAGAGTTATGATGTAGCCTTGATCACCAAACAATAATTTCGTGCACCAAGAAAGTGCCGAAACGTGAGGGTTTTCACGTGTCGGGCCCTGGAGGCGATACTCGTTCGACACTGTTTCGATATTTTTCTGGGTGCTGGACATGATTTCGGGGATGTGGTCCTTCAATACGATGGGAACAGCATAACCGAAGAGTATCAGTTCGCTTTCCGGGAACCCCAGCGAGCCCAGCATTGACCGCTCGTTGCAGCCCTCGCCTGCCGAGGAGGGCGGGCACCACCGCCTCCTCAGCCCACGAACCATCACCTCCGAGGACGAGGGGCACGTGTTCCCGCGGGAGGGCCAGCGGTGGCTGGTCCGTCTGCTTCCCGTGGTGATCCAGGGGGCCAAACAAAGACATAAACATAAAAACTTCGGAGGTCCGCGCGGATTTCTCGGATCGGCGCTGGGACCCCCCTCCCTGGCGCGCGGAGCGCGCCAGGGGCGGCGCCGGAGGCGCCGCCAGGGGGTTCCAGCGCCGATCTGAGAAATCCGCGCGGACCTCCGAGTTTTATGTTTATGCCACTGTTTGTTCCCCTGTGATCGGGGCCGCGGTGCTTGCGCTTCTTGCCGTGTACACCCCCTGGCGGCTCCAGACCGAGCTGCGGGAGCCCTTCGTCGTCGCCACGCAGCACGCGCTGGACGGGGGCCCGACCGCTGCGGCAGAGGCCCGGGTGCAGCGTAACACGCGCTCGGCGGGGCCCCCCGCGCCGCCGCCGAGGCTGCGGAGGCCGCGCGACGCGCGCTCGGGGGAGCCCCCACACTGCGGCCGAGGCCGCGGCCGCCGCGCAGCAGGCGCTCGTGGCGGCACCCCACGCCGCCGCCGAGGTCGCGGGCGCCGCGCAGCACGCCCTCGCGCAGGGCTCCCGTGCTGTGGCCGATGCAGCCGACGCCGCACAGCACGCCCTTTCGGAGGAGCCCCGCAGGACTGCGCCGGAGCACGCGCCGAAGCCCCCGGCCGACGCCGCGGGCGCGGCTCACGGAGACGGGTGGCAGGCCGCACGCGCGCCCGGGCGCCCCTCCTCCGCCTTCTCCGCCTCCTCCTCCTCCTCCTCCTCCTCCTCCTCCTCCTCCCTCCTCCTCCTCCTCCTCCTCCTCCTCCTCCTCCTCCTCCTCCTCCTCCTCCTCCTCCTCCCTCCTCCTCCTCCTCCTCCTCCTCCTCCTCCTCCTCCTCCTCCTCCTCCTCCTCCTCCTCCTCCTCCTCCTCCTCCTCCTCTCCTCCTCCTCCTCTCCTCCTCCTCCTCCTCCTCCTCCTCCCTCTCCTCCTCCTCCTCCTCCTCCTCCTCCTTCTCCTCCTCCCTCTCCTTCTCCTTCTCCTCTCTTCCCCCTCCCATTTCCTGTGGCGATGGGTTTCTGGCACTGGCCTTGCGGGCCGTTCTGGGGCCCAGCACGCACCGGTTTCCGCTTTCGCCTAACAAGGCTTGACGGAGGGAGGGGCACCTTCTGCTTCTTCTGCGCTGGCCAAGGTTTCACCCGTTGGCTCGCCTATCAGAGGTTGGTCCTCGGGTGATTCCAGGTTTGCGTGGTGCCTTTTGGCAGCGCCAGTTTGCACATGTTCGCGAGGTAGAAGAACATATATTGTCACACTGTTGTGATGGTTGCGGCTCATGCCATGATTGCGTCTCAGCGTTGGCGGTGGTATCGTCACCAGCGGTAGTGGTGTTCGTGGCAGCCAGAACGGAATGCCAATTGCAGTGGCGGTGTTAGCACGGGTGGTGCGTACAGCAGCGGTGGCAGTGTCGGCTAGCCTGTCGTTGAAAAGGGTACGCGAGGAAATCGCAGGAGAGGTGCAGCAGCAACACCAATTGACAGTGATGGTCCCGCCAGTGCACCAGAGGCATTGGCGACGCTTGCTTCAGTGGTGGCGGCTGCGATGGATTGTGTCGCTGTGGTGGTCATGTTAGTCAAAGCATGCCCGATGACATTGAAAGCCGTCTAATAACAACAGCAGTTGCTGCCGGAACAGAGGCACTGTGACTGCCCGCATTGACGACCTCGTGTGTACTCTGATTCACCTCGGCGACACTGCGAAGGAGCTCTGGGGGGGCGGGCTGGATGCGTGTTTGGACTCAAGTGTCAAGCGACGTGTCTGTTGGTATGTTTCGCAGTTCGAACGGTCAGGAGGATTAACAGCGTAAGCATAGTGAGAGTGAGAGAGAGTAGCTTGAGGAGTTGCACGATCTAGATCAGGTCGAATGTTGCCACATCCGCGCGAAGAGCATTGCAAACACCACAAGCACCCCCCAACTGCCTTCTCAACCGCAAGGTAACGTTGGCGGAGATCGGGGGGTGAGACCGAAGGGAAACGGAGTCGCCCGACCAGGAAATCGAGTTCGGTTTCGGTTCGTGTCGCGCGCGCGGGCGAGGCGAAGCATCTCGAGTCCTTGCACCAGCTAGGCCCAGGTGACGCCAACAGGAGTTGCTTCCCCGTGCGCTGGGGCTTGCCCGGGTCGTGCGCGGGGGGTTGTCCCGCGGTTGTCCCGAGGGTTGTCTTGCTGGTTGTCCCGTGGTTGTCCCGTGGCTGTCTTGCGGCCCTGCGGTTGCCCAGGGATTATCCCGTGGTTGTCCCGTGGTTGTCCAGTGGTAGTTTGGCGCTTGTTCCTTGGTATTCCCGTGGTTGTCCCGTGATTGTCTTGCGCTTGTTCTGCGGTTGTTCCGTGGTTGTCCCGCAGTAGTCCCGATGTATTTCTGCGGTGTTCTTGTTGTTGTCCCGATGGTTGCCCCGTTTTTATCCCGTGGTTGTCCCGTGGTGCTTCTGTGATCGCCCCGTGGTTGTTCTGATGTTGTCCGTGGTCGTTCCGTGGTTGTTTCGTGTGTGTCCTTTGGTTGCCCGTGGTTGTGCTGTGATTGTCCCGTGGTCGTCTTGTGGTTTTTGGTGGTTGTCCCTTGGTTGTCCTGTAGGTACCCCGAGTTCATCGCGTCGTTGTCGATCGGTGCACTTTGAGACCGATCGGTAGAGATACCAATACAGTGACAGTGGCACCGATAGACATATTGATGGGGACATCGACATACATACACACAGTAGGGTAGGCAATAATCTGGCCGACAGATTCATAGTCATATCGATAGTGCGGGGTAAGGTGAGGTCGCGAGACCGATCGGCAGAAAGTGTCAGCGGTATATGTATGTACATATATATATATATATATATGCACACACGTAAACACATTCATACACACATACATACATACACACATACATGCATGTATACATACATATATACATACACATACATACATACATGCACAAACACACATATGCATACATACATATATGCATGCGCATGCATACATACATACATGCATACATCTATGCATGCACGCAGTCATACAGACATACATGAGTTATTCCATTCATACGTACATGCAAGCATACACACATACATGAACACATCCATACGTGCATGCATGCATGCATGAACCCATACACACATACACACATGCATACATACACACATCCATACATACATACATGCATCATCACATGCATACATACGTACGTACGTGCATACACACGTACAGACAGGCATGCATGTATGCATGCGTGCATGTATCCATACACATATGCGTACATTCATACATGCATACCTGCACAGACACTTTCAATCATACCCCCATGCACACACACATACGTGCATAGACGCATGCATACATCCACCCATACATACATGCACACACACATACATACGTACATACACACATACCTACCTACATGCAAGCATACATACACATCTATATACATACAACCACACATACATTTTTTACATACATACATACATACATACATACATACACACATACATACATACATGCATACATATACACATACATACAACCACACATACATACACACATACACACGTACATACATGTGTCCATACATATGTACATATATTTATTTACATATGCATACATACACATGAATGCATGCATGCATGTATACACATACATATATATATACATACATACATACATACATACATACATACATACATACATACATAAACGCATGCATACCTACACACATCCATACATCCATACACACATACACGCAACCACATGAATGCATACATACGTGCATGCATGCATGCACACACATATAGCTATACATGTATACACGTGTATCTACATATATATATATATATATACATAGCTCGTTCGATCTATAACTTGCCAATCCAGTCTGGCGCCCTGGCTGAAAGACAGTTCCTGTGTCCTGACGGATCCCGATGTAGTGTCAATGGGATCTGAACGAAATCCTTAAGTTTGCTGGGACTCCTTGCGGCCGCGAATGCCATACATCTTCCTCTGGAATCTTAGGGGCTCCCTGCAGACATCTGTGGGACTCGTTCGAATTTCATCCGGATGTCTACAGGAAGTAGGGATTCTGGAGGAAGCCTTCGTAGGATTCTGGACGGAATCTTCAGGACCTCCCTGGGGAGTCCCCCAGGATCTCCCAGATCTTCTGCAGAGCTGCCGAGACGGTCAGGAATTCATTCTGGTTCTTGAGGGCTCCTGCGGAAGGCCCCTCGCCCCCCGTCGAAGCGGGGATCCCCAATCGCGGCGGCCCGCCCGCTTTGGTCCCAGGAAGGGGAGGGGGGGCCCGCCTGGGTCAGCCTCGCCATCAGTGAGGCGCTGGAGCCTTTGTTGCCTCGCTTCTCCATGCTGTTCGGCTGCGTTCTGCAGGGCCCCGCCAGGACCATCAGGAGGCTAAACTTCCAGGGGCAAGTGGGCGTCGTGTACTGAGGGAGAGATAGATCAGGGCCCGAGAAGTGCACCTGTCTCCCCCCCTCATTTATCGCCTCCCCCCCCCTCGTTGAGCGACGTCCTAAGCAAGAGGTCATGATACTGATGCGTTCCAAGGTTTCCAAAGTTTTTCAGGATTTCTGAGATGCCCCAGTGCTCCGCACGGGCTTCACAAACGAAGGCTGCGGACTCTGGAAATCCTGGAACGTACCCTGAGCCAATCTTTCCATGACATCTTTCTCGTCTTAGTGAGGGACACCGATCGGGGGGAACTTGTATAGGGGGCGACACATCGACCTGGAATCGGCGATGCATCGCCGATAGATCGGCGATAGGGCCCCGATAGCGAATCCGCAAGTTCCTGGGCAGGTTGGGGCTATCGGGCCCCTGTCGGCGATCACTGGGCGATTGGGGGTCGATGCATCTCCTTTATTCCTATCCCCCTGTCGTTGCCCCTGATATGGGCTCTCCTCTCCCTTTGCCTCCGCCCGGCGGCCGCGCTGTACGCCACGCTGCCACGCCACGCTGACTATACTCCCACGGGTACCACTGCACTTGTGCCTCTCTGGTCCATCTCTGACTACTTTCGGTGCCCCGTCGTGCTCGAAAAAGCTTCAGCACGGGCGTCCAAGGGGCTTGCATCCACACCTCGAAGGAGAAACGACTGCATAAAAATAGTTTTTTGGCGCTCCGCGCAGTTGCCCTGGACCTGCGCCGGCCCCCTTCTCACGGCGGCGCCTCTGGCGCCGCCCCTGGCGCGCTCCGCGCTCTGGGGAGGGGGGCTCCATCGTAGACCCAAGACATCCGCGCGGAGCGTCGAAAGTTTATGTTTACGTCGTGTCTTTCTTTTTCTTCTTCTGTCATCGCGTATCATGACTATCAGTTGTTTTTGTTTCTATGCTCATGTTTATGTTTCTAGTTATGATTACGGTGTTGTCTTTACGTTCATGCATCTGATTTTTCTATCATCACATTCATGTTTATGGCGTTTTCTTCTTTCTCTCCTCCTCCTTCTTCTATCATCGCTCATCCTGACTATCAGTTTCGACCGCGCACGGGGAGTTCGTCAGACCTGTGCCGCGCACGAGGCGAGGGAGGCGCAGGCCGCCTCCCTGCCTCGCTCGGAGGCGCGCCGGCCCAACCTCGCTCGCCCCGTCGCTCATCTGGCGCTCGGCTGGGCGCTCCGACCCATAGGGTCGCTCGCGCCCGGCGCTCGTCGGATGCGATGCTCGCCCTGGGGAGGAGGAGGCGGAGGAGGAGGAGGAGTCATGATAGGATGAGGCAGGGAGATCGTGTGAAGGAGGGCAGGAGGATGAGTGGGCGGCGTGAGGAGAACGGGCGGATGTCCGAGTGAGGGGGCCGAACGGTCATTCATTGTTCCTGGGTGCGTGGCTGAATCAGCAATTCGTGGTGAGAATTCTGCTTGTTGCGTTGTTGTTGTTGTTGATGTTGTTGTTGATGTTGTTGTCGGTGTAGTTGTAGTTGTAGTAGTAGTAGTAGTAGTAGTAGTAGTAGTAGTAGTAGTAGTAGTAGTAGTAGTAGTAGTAGTAGTAGTAGTTATTGTTGTCGTTGTTGTTGTGGTTGTTGTTGTTGTTGTGGTTGTGGTTGTTTTTTTGTGTGGTTGATGCTGTTGCTGTTGTTGTTGTTGTTGTTGTTGTTGTTGCTGTTGTTGCTGTTGTTGTGGTTGTTGTTGTTGTTGCTGCTGCTGTTGTTTTGGAAGTCTCATTTCTGAAGAATTATAATTGTTGATCCCCCCACCGGTGCATACTGTTTTTCTCAATCGAAGTGGGCCCCTCGACGCTCGCACCTTGTTTTTTACAAGGAAATCTTAAGGCTCAAACTGGGTCCCTGGCCCCCAGGTTACAACAACAACGGCTGCCAGGACCCCCGCTCCCGCCCGAGACTTGGAATAGCGCTCTCGCTTGGGCCTTTCAATTTTTTCAGGGATCGCTCTCCCGGCGCTCTGGAGTCGCGCTTTCGCTGGAGACTTGCTTGCAACTTACTGAAGAATAGCGCCCTTGCGTTGGATTTTCTTGTAATTTAATCAAGCGCCGCGCTCCCGACACCAAGGCTCCCAGGAGTCCGCTCACGCTTAGGACTCCCTCACAGATTACCTAGGAATCGGGATCTCGCTGCCCTTCGGGGCCCCGTTGCAGCCCTTCGTGGCTCCCTCGCTTTGTTTCGTGGCCCCGTTGCAGCCCTTCGTGGCCCCCTCGCTTTGTTTCGCGGCCCCGTTGCAGCCCTTCGTGGCCCCCTCGCTGCCCTTCGTGGCCCCGTTGCAGCCC